GCTGCTTTGCAGCGAGAAGAAACAACTTCTTGGAAACGCCGGGATTCCAGACTCCTCCCTGCCTGCGGGCAGCAGGGACACGGACGGGATCAAGGAGTTCTTAGCGGAGCACAAGGCACGAGCAAATGTTGCACAAACCTCCGCACTGTGCAACGCTCTCGGTTGTAGTGTCAATCTGACATAAGCACCAAAGAATAGGGTGGATGATCTACTTAGCGATATGGTTTAACGGGGACTAGGGACGGTTGGACTCGATGATCTCTAAGGTCTTTTCCAACCTAGAAATCTATGAAAGAATCATTTTTGTATCTCTCGTCTCCTCCTCCACCAGAAACGACCGTTCCCTTTCCCAGCTAACCTGTTCCCTGCTTCCACCGCACGCGCAGGCAGACACGCACGTGCGCACGGCGGCCACGGCACTTTCCAATTAGGATGGAGTATTCCAGGTGACAGGGATGGCTCGTTCCGTGTGCCACAATTAAAAACCATCCTGTCAATCCCATCGGAAAATTGCACGTGAATGGGCCCTCGCTCCCAGCTCCTGGTGTATCCAGATCCTTTTGCTTTAATTTGCTCTTCCACAAACCTCTACAAAATGCCCCCTCGGCTCCTGTGTCCAGGTCCCCGTCACTCCTCGGGCGGCTGCACAGCCGCTCCTGGCCCACCGTGTGCCTTGTGCCGGCAGAGCCGCAGCGATCCGAGCCCCCGCAGACCCTCCGGTCCCCCCTGGAAGCCCCAGCCTGGCACGGTGGCATGACCCAGCGCAGGCAGGAACCGCTTTCGGATGCATCACCAACTTTCCATTCCCATACAGTCCTTGTTAATTATTTAACGTAGCCAAACCATTGCTGGAGAGCTTCAAATCTTCAGAGTGACTTTCTTATGCTAAATGTAACTGAAGAACTTACCTTCTGGAAACACGGCTGGAAGCCCGTGCCCCGGTGCCAGGTGTGCCATGGAAACCCCCAGCCAAGGGCACGGGTCCCCAGTGCAAAGCAGGGAGAGGGTGGAGCGATGGGCTGTACCCTGCTCCACGCTCCCC